CTGGCCTGTAATTTCCCGGATCTCCTCTGGAACCCTTTTTAAAGATGGGAGTGACATTAGCTACCTTCCAGTCCTCAGGAATGGAGGCTGATTTTAAGGAGAGATTACATATTTTTGTCAGGAGATCCACAAGTTCACAATTGAGTTCTTTCAGAACTCTTGGATGTATGCCATCTGGGCCTGGTGATTTATCAGTTTTTAAGTTGTTTATCAGTTTTAGGACCTCCTCTCTCGTCACCTCAATCTGACTCAGGTCTTTCAACACCCCTCCCGAACTCAGCGGCTCTGGAGTGGGCAAGCACCTCTCATCTTCCACAGTGAAGACGGAGGCAAAAAATGCATTTAGCTTCTCAGCCATTTCCCTATCATCCTTCAGTACTCCTTTTACCCCTTGGTCATCCAAGGGCCCCACTGCCTCCCTGGCTGGTTTCCTGCTTCTAATGTATTTGAAGAAAGTTTTATTGTTGGTCTTTACATTTTTTGCTATATGCTCCTCATATTCCCTTTTTGCCTGCCTGACCACAGACTTGCATTTTATTTGCCATAGCCTGTGTTCTGTTTTATCAGCCTCACTGTGACTAGCTTTCCACCGCTTAAAGGAATCCTTTTTACCTTTTACAGCTTCCATTACTTTGTTTGTTAACCATGTAGGCTTTTTCTTATACCTGTTTGTGCCTTTCCTAACCTGCGGAATATATTTTATTTGAGCTTCTAGAATTGTAGTTTTAAACAGTTTCCAAGCTTCCCCAATGGTTTTGACCCTTTCTACTTTTCCCTTCAGTTTCCTCCCCACATGTCCCCTCATATCAGAAAAATTACCCCTTTTAAAGTTAAAAGTGGTTGTGTGAGTCTTTTTGGCCAATTCCCTATTTGTACAAATGTTGAACTCAACAACATTATGATCACTGTTCCCAAGCGGTGCAATCACTTTTACATCTCTCACCAGGTCTTGAGTGTTACTTAGGACCAAATCAAGGATCGCCTCTCCCCTGGTAGGTTCCATGACCATCTGCTCCATAGCACAGTCATTTAGAGTGTCTAGAAACTCAATCTCTTTCTCTCGACTAGAACACATATTGACCCAATCAATGTGTGGGTAGTTAAAATCACCTATTACGACACAGTGTTTTTGTCTAGCTGCTATCTTTAATTCATTCATCATTTTATAATCCTCCTCTATCTTTTGATCCGGTGGGCGATAACAAACTCCCAGTGTTAAGTTTCCTTTTGGCCCCCCTATTTCAACCCACAGAACTTCAAGAAGCGAATCCAATTCTCTTAGCCTCTCGATCTTTCTGGACTTTATACCCTCTCTGACATACAGAGCCACCCCACCTCCAACCCTTCCCCCCCTATCCTTCCGATATAATATATAACCGGGAATCACCGTATCCCACTGATTTTCCTCATCCCACCAAGTTTCTGAAATACCCACAATGTCTATTTTTCCCTCTGACACCAAGCACTCCAACTCCCCGATGTCCTGGCCCCACTGGTGGACCTCCTGATGGCACCTGGTATTTTTGGCCACTGTGTGACAGAGTGTTGGACTGGATGGGCCTTTGGCCTGATCCAACATTGGCGTCTCTTATGTTCTTATGGGTACTTTTTAGTGGCAACTGCATGATTATGGAAGCACCTCCCCAGGGAGGTGCGCCTGGCCCCTCCCTTTCGATCTTTAGGACGCAGCTGAAGATGGTTTTATTTAAGACTGCATTTAATTAATTGTGAATTTTGGTTTTATGTTTTTTAATATATTTTATTAATATTGTAAGACATCTTGAGCTCTGTAGGAAGAAAGGCAGCTAATAAATATTTAAAATAAAATAAATAAATAAATGTGTTTTCGGGCTCTGGGCATTTGGGCACTGTGAAACACCATGACTACTTTTAACACACACACACACACACACCCCTCTTTGGAATTTGGCTTGGGGGTAAAACTAGACGCCGCAATATGAGCCGTGAACGTTTTTTGTAAGCATGGTGCTACAAAATGGGTAGAGTCCTTTGAAACAAGGAAAATACTAAGTAAAGTAAGCAGAAAGTGATGTTTGCAAATACTTGTGCACAGCAGAACATCTGTACTACTTTTATTTTTTAATCAGTGCCCCACTTTTACTATTTTGCAACTGCTTACGGGGGAAGGCAGCACAAATTAATGAAGAAGAGCACAGATAAACCAAACCAACCCCAGTTTCTGGCAACCAAAGAAAGCGCCTCTCTTCATTTTGTGCCCTACCACTTTCTCAACTCATCCTCATCAGGAGACGTCTCCTGAGGCTTAGCCATAGCTTATATCCTACTAAGATTAGACTTTTAAACAGTTTGCTACTTCTGTCTACCATGCAGGGTAATGACTGCCTGACTTATCCCCTACCCTACCACATAACCCCCACATCTTGCTCAGGAGGGACTGGTAACTTGAAGGGACAGTGGCAAGAAGAGATGAACAGCGGAAGCACTGCTAGTCTTAAACTGGAAGCCATAGTCCACCCATCCAAAAATGTCTCTCAGAGAAAATTAAGGTTGTGGCTGGAAGCAGTAAGACAGAAACTGTCTGAAGGACTTGTGAAGAAAACCAGCAGCTCATGTTTAACATTCGTTACTCATTCTTGCAGGCATTTACAGTCACAGTCCACTTGGCTGTTAGTTATCTCCATTGTTTATGGCCTTGGAGCACAGACACTGGTCCCTGCTTTGTGTATGACAGCAGATCTGACTTGCATATTAAATAGGAAAGAGTAAATGATTCCACATGGCCTTGAAGGTTTCCAGAGCCAGAAAAGCAGCGCTGAGTTTAAGTCACAGATTGCTTGCCAAACCTTACCGCTTAGAATGTGCAAGGCAGCATCTACTAGACCTGCTACCCTATCTAGACATCAAATGTTCCGAAGAGCCACAGACTCCCTCCATTTGGATAAGGAAAAAATATTTCTCCACTTGAGAGTTTTGTAAAATATAACCCCAGAACAAAGTGCGCTACAAGCTGCGCAGATAAGGCATGTTCCAGCATAGGCGGGTCAATTACCGGGTTCAAGCACATAAAGAAACAGAGTACTGCAAGAAAATACAGCCATTCTGTGGGGAAAAGGGGGGGGAGAAGGGATTAAAATAGGTTCTTACAGAAGGAAACCTCTGTGGGGAATAAAAGACCCCTTTTCCCTGACACTAGTCTAATCAAAATTTTGACAAGCATCCTATAAGCTGATGTGTATAATCAAAATTCTCACAAGTTTGTTACTCAGTTTTAGTTTCATCTGGTATATTTTGAGACTAAACTCTAAGACTTTTGGTTTGGAAGCCTAATTTCAACAGAAAAGGAAAGCAGGAAGAAAAAAAAGGAAAGGAAAGCAGAAATAGCAGTCTTGAAAATAAATCCATGAGTAAACAACCCTCTGGGAAGGTAGTTTATACTATGTCACCCACTACCAGTTTGAAAGCTCTGCTTAGCAAAACAAAGAGGGCAGGAGACAGGGAGAGGAATGCCTCAGAGTACTTGGCAGCACTCCAGACACTCTTTTTTTTCTCTTTCTCAAACATTACAGTAACTTTTCCACCCTGCAAGCTACCAAAATTAGGGACCAACAACACTAAAGCTCCCTTGTTCAGAAACCCACATGCAATTTTCCATCAAAAAGAGTACACTTTTACTTTACACCTTTTATGTTCTTGTCCAGTCTTCTAGCCCCTGGTATAGCTCTGATGCAGCATAAGGGACAAAACTGTGCTATAGACACAGGATGAAACAACACTACTTGCATACACCAAAAAATTCAGAGTTTGCAAGACAATGCCAGTTATAGTTTTAAAAATGCTAGTTGCGAGTATGAGCCACAAACGGCTTTTCCTAAGGCTTGGATGTTCAAAAAGAGTGCTGATCTAGAGGAGAAACTAGAGAATGTGGGTGTAAGTTGTCCCAGCTCACCTCTCACATTATGGGACAGGCTTAACCAAGCCTCTGTTTCTCAGCTACCCATCTGCAATATAGTGACAATAGAACCGATTTGCCTCACAGGGCTATTTTGTACCTCAAGTCACTGATTCTCAAACTTTCTGAACAAGAATGTCCTTCTAAATTTACTTTATTGTTCAGGACCAGCACTACTTCCCCTTCCCCAAAATAAAAAGCAGCGCCCTCACATCAGTTAACACTCAGCTACTTCATGTTCCATCTGTTGCATTTAGTGGTTAGAAATATATAGCACTACTGAGCAATGGGCTGCATTTTAGGACCACTTTGCACATTGTGCAGAAGCAAAACCTGGCTTTGCCATTAAGCCTCCTCTTCAAGTTTACCCTGCCAGTTCAACCCACCTGCAAGAGAGTCTCCACCCACATTTTGACAGCCGTTTTCCAAGCATTTGGAGAAAAACACTGCTAAGCAATATTTGGCCAACTGCCAGAACGAAAGGATGCAAATCTAGGGGGGGAATTGTTTTGTAGTCAACAAGGATGTTTCCCCCTCTTCCTCTATATAACATGCATTAAGTGTAAACAGTCTTACTAGCAGACAGAATACACCTATACTCGCTCAAAAGTACCACCTTGACACAGAGTTTTATTAAAACGTCCTGGCAGAATGGCACTCTGCCCATGTTCAGAGGCACCTTGCCCACCCGTTTTAAGCAAGTTATCTGAAGAGACACTTCGCAGTTGCTCAAATATACGTTGCCCTTTAAAAAACAAAAGAATCTTGTGCAGCTAGAAAAAGACATTCTGTACAAGCTCAGAGGTACCCGGTTTTTAAACAAACAAAAAACATGTTTTCTTATTGTAAAAATCAGAGGAACCTCCTGTAAATGCCACAAATCACCCTTTTGCTCCTACACAAAGAAAAGGCAGCTTGCTCATGCCCAGAGGCACTGCCCTTTCCATTCTATTCAGGCTCAACTCTGTTTTATCCTGCACTAGGAAAAGGCACTCTGCACATACGCAGAGGCAGGGCCAGAGCCGCAAAACCGGTGGCAAGCGTCACCTTTCCCTCCCTTCCTCCTCACCGCGGCCGTATCCCTGCGTGTGCTTGGCGAAGCTCCTGACAACCGCCTCGACGGCCTCCCTCAGCACGACGGGCGGCCCCGTCGTCGACCCTCCCGGGGAGCCGGAGGCGCCGACCGCGCCAGGCAGGAGCGGCGGGGGGAGAGGCGGCAGGGGCGGCGGAGGGGGCGGCGGCGGAGGCCCCAAGTTGCGGGAGAGGCGGCGGCGGCGCTGAGGCGGCAGGAGCGGGGAAGGAGGAGGAGGTCACGCCAGGCCGTAGCGACCGCAGCGTGCCCCCGACGCCCGGCTGCAGCCGCTGGGCTCGCAGGGACTCCATCATCATGGCAACGCCGAGCCGCCGGAGAAGAGGGAAAGAATAAAACTCCGCTGCCTACACCCCGCCTCCTCTCTCCCTCGCCTCATCCCGAACTGTCAATCATCCCCTGAGCCGCAGCGCTTCCCCAATAGCGGAGCACGTCTCCGGACAGGGGGCCGGCCGGGCAGGCATGCCCTCCAATCGCCGTGGCGATCGTCTCAGAGGTTGTGGGCGGGTAAAACGAAAAGCCCCAGTCGCTTGGATTAAGAACGCTTTAATAAGTGGGCGGGTACTTTGGTACTTCATCCAATCAGCGTCGCGATAATTTCATGGGCTGGCCGGACGGGGGGGGGATATTAACGGAGGTGAGAAATGAGGGGGTTGGCTCAGCCCCTCGGAGTGAGCCAGCCAATGAGCGTGCCCCTTGGATTAGGTTTGTCGTACGAGCGCTACCATGTTACTCCCGGAAGTGGTGCCGCTGCTGCTCTCTGTAGTTCTGGGACGACGGATGAGCGACCCTTGCCCTAGAGCGGCTTTCGGCTGGCAAGGCTCCGGGGCGGCCTAGAGCGCGAGGGTCCCTACGCGGGGGTGGCGCCTCGGGGAATCTCTGGGGAAAGCTGAGGGCCCTACGGTGCACCTAACCGAGAAGGCGGTCTCCTCGCAGAGCTGCACCAGGAGGCCCGACGTCCCCTGAGAGTAGAGCTGCACCGGGAGACCCGTCGAGAAAGGGCGCAGCCCCGCAGGAGAGAGAAGGAGCCCGCCGGAGCTCTCCATCCCCTCTCCGGGCGGGAGGTGCTGAACAGAAGGCAAAGCGATTCGAGCGATGGAGTCCTGGGTGCGATTCAGCGCCCAAAGCCAAGCGAAGGAGCGGGTGTACAGGTACTGTCCCGGGCCGGGAGAGGTTGGGTGGGAGCAGGTGGGTTCCTGCGGGTTGCTCTGCCAGGCGAGGTTCGGAAGTTCCTGCCAGACCAGTGTTCCCTCTAAGCTGAGTTAGTGTGAGCTAGCTCACAGTTTTTTAGCCTCCGGCTCACACATTTTTGTCTTAGCTCAGGAATCTATGCAGCAGCCAAATCGCTCGCTCACAACTTTAAGGACAGTAGCTCACAAAGAAGAATTTTTGCTCACAAGACTCCACAGCTTAGAGGGAACATTGTGCCAGACTCTGGCTGTTCAGGAATAAGGCTGAGCTCTGCCACGGTTTGTGGGTTTGCAGGGGGAGGAGGTGCTCCGAGGCTTGAAGGATTGGTTTCTCGGGGTTGAGGGTGGGATGTCGGGGGTTAGTGACGGTCTCTTATTACAATCTGAGATTTTAAAGAAAATCGAAGCTCAGTGGCGCCTACTAGGAAGTACTCCAGCATAAGGTCAGAGAGCCCTTCATTAAGTATATAGGTGTATATACATGCATAACTGCTGTGGAGGTATGCACCATGTATCTGATGAGGTGAACTCTGACTCACAAAGGTTTGTGCCAGAATACATTTTGTTAGTTTTGACGGTGTCCCTGAAGTCTTGTTTTATTTTGGTGTGTGTCAAGCACTGTGCAAAGAGAAAGGACTTTAACCCAAAAAGAACTTGTCTATCATGTCAGGAAGAAGGCTCAAAAGTACAGATTTTAAAAAATGACGACAGGGGTTTGTTTCTGGCAGTTGCATATTGTGTGACATGGTGACCGTAGTGAGGAGGATGAACGTTATTAGTTGCTTTGGGTCGCCACTGGGGAGAAAAGCTGTGTATAAATACCTCAGTAAATAATTTTGGGAGTGTCATAGATGCTAAAGGAAGCCTAGGTGGAAAAGAAGGAAATTTTGTTGTGAAGGGGCAAAAGAACAGCCAGAGGTTTTGGTATTGTGTTTCTCATAGCACAGCAGCCTGAATAGCCCAATTTGGCCTGCTGAGCTTCTTAGGGCTTGGGAGCTAAGTACAGTCAGCCATGGTCAGTACTTGGGTGGAAGACTATCAAGAACGGTATGCAGAGGAAGGTAATGCCAAACCATCTCTGCTCATCAATTCATGCAATTTGCCCACCAATTTGTGCAACAGTGGTAGGGCTTCTAGTGTCCTGGCCCCACTGGTGGACCTCCTGATGGCACCTGGTATTTTTGGCTACTGTGTGACAGAGTGTTGGACTGGATGGGCCATGGCCTGAGCCAACATCAGCTTCTCTTATGTTCTTATCATTTGCCTTCAACACCCCATGGTTGTGAGCTTTGTGACCCAAAACAGGGGGGGTGAATCCCTTATTTGAGAGTCAGTTGCAACTCAACAGCACATGCTTCTTCTCATGGCAGCTTATATAAGCCCCCAGTACTTGAAGCTGACAGTGCACATCCACACATTGCACGTGCTGTTTTTGTCTGGCATCTGATACTTAGAGGTGCAGTGCTTCTGAACACAGATGCTCCCTTTAGCCATTGTGGCTGATAGCCACTGATAGACCTGTTCTCCATGAACTTGTCTAATGCCCTTTTAAAACTGTTACTGCACTTCGTGGTCATGGATCCTGTACTGTGTGAAGAAGTGGTTTCTTTTGGTTGTCCTGAATCTGCCTACCATTGTGTGAGCCTGTCGTCTTGTATTGTGGAAGGGAAAGGTCATTTTTCTCTCTACACTGTTTGCAATTTTATAAATGGTCATTTCCCCTCCCAGCCATCTTTCCCCCCCTAAACTATAAAGCTGCTTCATCTGTAGGTGGAATTGCACTGACAGAAGAGGAAGTAATTTCTCCTCCTTCCTTGCTGCAGCCTACCAATTTGTGTGGCTGTTCTTCCATGTAGGTCCTGTGACCCCTGTAATCAATAGGGAAAATTGATGATCGTTATGCTTGTGAATTGTTGGATTCAGCCCGAATGCAGCTGCACTGTAGATCTCTATAAGGGCATCATCAAATGATCACCTTTGTTTTCTGATTTTTTT